CTGCCATCCTCAGTGAGAAGCGTCCCTGGAGCGAGGGATTTACTTACCTTCTCCTAGGTCCCTTTTACAGGGTGGCCAAAGCACATAACAAATACACAAAAAATAAACGCATGCTTCTTCCATAAAAGTCTTGCCTATCAAATGCTTGGTATAAAGGTGCGAGAGAGAAAAAAATTTGTTCCTTAATGTACGTGCCACTATATTGTCTACTTACACTTTCACTTGGCAAAGGATAGCTCGGCAGCGAGGAAATGGAGGACGTAAAAGTGGGCATCGATGAATACACCATTAGAACAATTAGTGGAAAGTCACATAATGCAAGACTTTTTACTTTGTTTTAACCGACTCAGCGGTGTGCGCGAAGGTAACAACCGCTGTGTCAATCTCTCGCGTTCAAATCAACCTCCTCATTTGGTCACAAACAAACGAACTTCCCACCCAACTATAGTATTAACAGTGCGGCCTGAAATTTTTGCCTTTTTAACCATACCGGCTAATACAGTCATAGTGAGGGGATAAAAATTGCTCTGGATGATTCACCACTCTGCGAAAGCACATCGTCTTAACTTGTGCATGAGGCGTTGCCCATGCGTGGACATTCAAATGCCTCTGGGCACAACTTCTACTGCTCTCCCACCGGATTACAGTTGACTTGCCAATAAGGTTAGCGCCAATTGCATCAGTAAAAAAATGCAACACTTTACGGCACAGGACGCTGAGAAAGCAAACCCCACGCCCAAAGTGGTGCACCAACAGTGACATTTTTGTGCATGTTGTGAGCGCTTGGGCTTGTTTGGCATCCCTCAAGAGAGGCTTCATTTAATTTAATTAAATTAATTAATTAATTAATTAAATTAACTTTTGGAATAGTTTATGAACCACCGAGTGGTTATGCAAATCTTGCCGCACAACTGAGGTCCGAACTAAGCAAAATGCTTAAATATAATCCTAAGACGTGGTGAAAGCTGCCTTTTTTTCCTCTTGTGGATGGTGTGAATGGTTTTCCGGACATGCTTCCCAAACCCATGCCATTGGCAGAGAAATCGGCAAACGTTCTCACCTTAATTCTAAGAAGTGACTTAATAGCCACCAACAATAAACTCTTCATTATGAGGAAAATCAGGACGGCAAGGTCGCCTGTTCAACAAACTGTGTCATTTCCACTGGGCTATGCATCCTTTTATTTTGCAATTTGGAGATTAATTTGAATTTTTTAGAACGTAATTTTATTCCAAAGTGATGAGTGGCGGCTTTCAAAGCATAATTTGGTCCGTTTGAGCTGGCGGAATGGATTTTCTTCTCCTCTCCTCTTTCTAATCCGTTTTGAATGGTCGAAAGAGACATTCTGCAAGTAGCAAAAATTTTGTCGCATGCAGCAGAACCATGCCTTGCCAATCTCATCCACCTTTAAATTGCAATGCCTATTTAATGTTTTCCTTACCTTTACTAAGCTTCAGTAGTCGACGTTGTGGATTCAGACCAGTTTAACGGAGCACAAAATTGACGATAAAGAGTGTAATGGCGGCATTCGAGACACGTCAACGTCTTACAACCCGGAAGACGGGAGCCAGGAGTCTAAAATTAAAGAAAAGAGCAGATCTATTTTGCCCCATTGTATAAAAATTGCCCTTCCTACGAGTCCAAACGCTCAGCACGCGCCGTGTATGAGAAGAGGAGGCAGAAGGGAAAAAATGTCCCACATTAACATGTGTGCCACACCTCCTGCTCGATCGTCGAGTCGGCACCTTGTCTGAGACTTATGCGCTGTAAACTGCCTCCACGGAATCCCCTTTAGACGCAGAACACTTTGGAGAACTGTATAAGAAGAAGTTTCACCACCAAACCGATGTGGACGCAATGTTGATGCATGGTATAAAGGCGTGGACACTCGGCCAAGATGTAGCTTTGACGTCTCACGTAAGCTATCAGCGGCAATGAGGGATGTTCAAACAAGGCAAAATCTCATGGCGAGGTGGCAGCAGACCTTGTCACGTCAGCCATAGCAACACAGCTTCTTGCAATGTGGTTGCCTTAAATGTTAACTTCTTGCTTAATTGTCGGCATTTTAAGATGGCATTTGTAAATTTAAACAACTTTGCACTTTTGTTTAATTACCCAAGGGACAGCGCTCCTTAGAGCTCAAAATGGGAATGCAGTAGCGTCAGATTCTCTCCTACAAAAACCAGCTTCCTTCCACTTTTCATCTCACCCAGTATAAAATGACAAATTGACGGCCGAACAGGTTTTCATTGGACAATTTTAAAGAGGGAATTCAAAATGCTGCCAAACTGGTGACAAATATGAAGTCTAGTTGAATACTATTGTGCGACAAGTTGGTAGCAGTTGGAGAGTGGAAAGTCAACTGGCCAGCTCGGACAGTCTATACGAAGGTCGCAAAAGTGGCACTGCTGAGGCGAATGCATTACGGGACTATGGTCGATTGTAATTTGCCAGAGGTTGGTGATAGGTCAGAGTGGGGAGAGGTGGACTGACATTCAAAGCAGTAAACCGCTCTCCACTCTGTATGAGCGCCATTAGTCTGCAGCTGACACATTGCAGATTGCATTTCCTTCCTTGTGTGCCATCGAGGCGTTCAACAGTGCGTTGGGAGAATGCATTTTTGTGTCTTCTCCTCTTTTCCACTTTATTTTCGTTTCAATGCTCTCCATCTTTCGACCTACTTACCAGGAGGTGGATGAGGCTTCGATAATGTCCACAAAAACGGATCTCCCCAATCAAAGAACACTGTGTAAAACTTAACGCCAGACAACAATGGATGGTTAACAGCCACGACTACTGCTGACATGGTTGTCAGTAGCGCTTCCTAACCCAGACGCTATGACACTGGCAGGGATTAAGTAAAACAGTGCAGTAGACTTGCTTTACAAGATCGAATCACTGTTAAAATGAAGGAAAAATATTTTGGCTTACATTTGGACTGACTAAGGTAACAACCAGCTGAATTCCTTTGTAGTAATGCGCTCACTGTTGATAATGACGGCAAATCATGGTGCCAGACCCTCCAACACCAAACCGTGGATTGTATCTGCCGTTCACGAGAAATAATGCTGTTCCCAACGATGAGCGGTGTGGCAAGCAACAACCGCGACGGTGTCGACGATGTGATCATTGGCTTGGATCAAGATGTTGAAGTGACTTGTTGACAAGTTATTTTAACTGTCTTCGCAAGAACTTTGCTGTCTGAGCTATGCACTGCCTCCTCAACTAGCATTATTTTACAGTTCATGCAAACACGTTAACCGTGGCTCAAATGCTTTTTTGCCCCTCAAACTGTCGTAAATGGGCAGAATTTTGTGGAGGTGGATCGGTTCAAACAACGCGAAGTTATGACATTCTCACCTTAAAGAATGCAATCTGCAATGCGGCCATGTTTGATCATGCCATGATTCTGAAGGAACTCTATTCAGCGCGGTAAGTGGAGGACGACAGTTCCTGCTACGACTTGACAACTAGTGCAAACCGCTGCTCATTCACCCGCCTTACACTACAGGGAAATGTCACCCGTTAGAAGTCATTTAGTTGCAGTAAAACCGGAAGATTGAGATCCAGCACGATTGACAGAGGATTTGAAAGGAGACGGAAGAGGTGAGAGTGAAACTGCACGTCTCAGCCTTATTGGGGCAATGGAGGCTTTTCCATCACAATCCCAAGGAGTGATCACCTATATTGCGTCTCTCTTCCACTCTTCTGTGGTTAAAAAGGTGAGAAAGCAATATACATCAACCGATTTCTGCGTTTGAATTAACTTATCCACTAAAAGTATATAACTGCAGTGTGGTTGTGACCGAGGCCTTGTGACCGCTTTAAAGCTCACGACAGCGGCTACAAGTCACCGAACTTGCAGCAAAAAAAGTGAATGACGATGTTTGAGTTTGAGAAAATGAGCCCATTTTTGGTTAGAATAGCCTTTGGGGTGCGTTTAAGGCACGCTATTGATTGACCACCAAAAGTGTACAAAAGTGTGCAGGGGATGGAAGTTTCAGTTACGCACTACAAAGTGCGATTTGCAACCAAATGACCCAGCATCTGTTAGCAACAAAAGGAAGACAGTAAGAAAGATTGGCAGGAGGCATAAGGACGTAACTAAACAGACTGTCTATGGAGGCAAGCTTAAATCTCTCGTCACAATGGCCTACTCCAACCACACAAAGTGGAGTGGATGCTACGCCTTCCACCTCAAACTTGCAGCTAGAGTCACCTTATGAGAGAAGACTTTTAGCGCTCCTCAATCACCGCTTTTCATTGGGAATGCCTTGGTTCTTACAGTTTCTCATTTTACCACGTCAGTTGAATTTTTGTCCTTAAATTCACCTAAAAACCAAATACCAGAAGAAGGAGGAGGCAGAGGAAGAGGTTCATGAAGACATTGTTCCGGCAGGAAGATCATCAAAACATTAATAAAGAGCCGTACAAATGCACACAACGAAAAAGGCGAAATGCATTTTGCATTAAGGCAAAGAAATGCATTTCTTACAAGTTGAGTCACGTTGTTACTGAGACCAATTCAGTAGCAGTGAATAAATGGATGAATATGTGAAGGGAATGGACGGAATGAGACGAGAGCATTTGTATGCAGATGTATTTTTGTGTGTGTGTGTGTGTATGCGGGTGGAAGGAGAGTGGGACATATGAGAAGGGGAAAGAGGAGACAGTACTAGGAGGCGATGGGTAGGGAGGGGAGGACTAGAGGTAGGGTAAGCGAGAGGGCAAGAATTGAAAATGGAATTTGCGTGAGGAAAGCGGGTGGATGGGGAATGCGTTGGTGTGAAGATGAGGGAGAAAAAATTTGCGAGATGTTTTGAGGGTGAGAAATTTGGCAAGGGGATGGGAGGCAAAAGGAGTGGAGTTTGAACTGTCGGGTCTGTGCGCTGGCGATGAGTGCGTTTGGCTCATGTACACCGGCTGGTCCGACCTCAGCTGGGCTGTAGAAGCAATGAACTGACTCTGCTATTGTGGTATGGTGGTGGTAGCCGCGCACAATGGCTGCCTGGCGGCTCCTTCTTCCTCCCCTCCCTTACCAGCCTGCACGCTTGCCTTCCGGCACTGCTGCTGCCGCTGCTGTTTATACTGGCGCCACCGCTGCTGTTGCCTTATGGGTGTGTGCATGCAAGAGTCTCACTTGGTACGGTTGCCTCTGTGCCTTGCTGCTGTGCAACCGATCCACCGTATGGTGTAAATGCGGCAGTAAAACGGCAGAAGAGCAACCGTAGCGATGGGCACAGCGAATAACTGTCAGGTTCCTTTCCTTTCCTATTGTCCTTTCCCATTATACTTTCTCCACACCGATCACATATCCTTCAATGCTTAGTCTAGGGGCATGCACGAAATATCTTTCTTCTGCATACCTACTTTCCAATATTAAACATTTAGTGGAGGAGAGAGAGCACTATCCGCTAAATTGAAACAGCAGCGGGCTGAGTAGATAGGCGAAAATGATATCCTATCCGCTTGTCCGCTGGTGGGGACAGCATCGTGATGGGGCTGTTTAGGGGTTACCAAAGTTGTTCACACCTCTGATGCAAACTCTACCAAAGTTTAGTCGAGAGTGGGACAAACTGTGTTGAGTGCTGCAGTAAGGGAAGAATCTAAATGCCACAATCTCAAGGCACAATGGCAACGCTTAAGCTTAGGCAACGTTGGTGCAACAGTCGATCATCATCACAAGGTAACGTGTCCCACTCGCGGTTGGTAGGAGAGGTCTCGACGGCGTTTGCTACCAAAACATGGCGTCGCAGTAAGGACCTACATTTTACCAAGACATCATTAAAAGTAGATATTATGCCATCCTATATAATTTTGAGTCAAAAGACTCGAACTTGAGGCGATATGATGCCACTGCGAGCCCCAATGGTAATCTGAGAAACACGTCAATGTCTGTGTAATGTTTTGCTTATGTGACTACCGGACATTTGGCAGTCACTTTAGGGTTTGTCTGGCCTGCACACGTGGGCTAGCCTTGGGACCACACTCAGGCCCATTTGCCCTGTCGTCTTCGGACTACATGTAGTAAACCTCATTTATGCTTTCTTCCACCCTATGGAAAAGCTCGAGATGTTACACTGGTGGCAGCGGAAAGCGAGCCCGACATTTTTACGGCTTTTTTGCATAAAATACTTTTAAAAACCTGATCTAGCCGAGAATGAGTCTCTCTGCAGCTCGTTCTTCTTTGGTCGTTTGTTCAAAGCGATTTAATGTCTGGGAAAATTTATTGCCCAACAGATACCGCTGCCTTACTGGTATCCTACGTTTGTGTTGCTAAACTTTGCCAATTACTTGACTGATTTCCGGAAAAAGAACAGTACGAACAAGCCGATGCATTGCTCCAGTACCTACAAATCGCACAGGATCTGGAGATGTATGTTGCTTGTTCTTGGTGCCGATGCTCTCCTTTTGAGTATTTATGAGCCTGATAATCTGTAGGACCGAAAAATCGGGTTGCTTTGGTCGGTAATTCGATTCCTCTCTTTTCATGACAAGAAGTTTATAATCCAACCAGCAGACAAGACTGCAAAGGAATTACACCTTTCAGTGGAGAAATCCAAGATTAATAAGCGCATTTTGGCGTTTTGCACTGGCAGTCATGAGCTATACATGCGTGGAAGGAAGTCTGACTCTTTATGTCGAAGTGCGATAGATGAAGATACAGGCGAAAAAGGGGACATGAATAGGAGGAAGCGCATTTACCTTGGTGATGGAGAATTTCTGAATCCTTCACAACGAGAGGATTTAGACTGACGTCTGTATTTGGTTTCACCTTATTCCCGTGTTCCACAGACAAGCTATTAACAACTCAAGCGACACCTTCGTAAACTATCCAGGAAAGTTTCGTGTCGGAATTCGCCATACGAAATCCGTGCTTAGGTGTCGGAAATGGCACTACGGTTCTCCTTACATACGGAACAATGGGTCATCCCGTTTTCCCTGTAAGACATTTGTTTTAGACCAGAGTTCTACCGTTCATTGCCGGAAGCAATTGACGGTCAAGAGGTGCGTGTGGCCCCGAATCTGGTTGTCAGACCGAACGTAACACCAGATCCACCAGGTATGTTTCCTCAGTCTCATGCTATCTGTCGACTGGCGCATTTGGCTCATGGGTGCCTTCATATGGTACCGAATTTGTTGTGACGGCTTGTGCTGGAGGTGTACCAAGGCGAGCGCCGAGGATGCCGCTTGAAGAAGAGAGGGAGAGTGTAATGCCTCGTTTATGTGACAACCTGAAATTTGGCTGTCACTTTAGAATTTGTCTGGCCTCCGTAGACGTGGGTTGGCCTTCGGGCCACGTTAAGGCCCCATTTGTCCTGTCGTCTTAAGGATACATGCAATCAACCTCATTTGCGTCTACTTCCAACCTATAGGAAACCTCAGGCACCACATGCTGCTTTGTCCTTTTCGAGCTACATGCATCCAGCTGCATTTACTACCTTCTTCCACCCCATGTGATGTCTCGGGACGCTACAGCAATCGTAGTGACATAAACATATTTGCGAATTGTTCCCAAAATATTAATTGCATAAAGCGTCACAAACAACGCAGCTTAAGATTGCCTTTAAGATGGTTTCATATTTGCTACGAAATTTAAAGTTTCTTTTATCAGAAGCAAACGCTAAATTGAAAATATCGTAAATATGCAAAAATTATGGATTCATAATAATTTTAATCATGTTTTTTTTTACAGAAAGGTAAAAGTTGTAGCTTTTTATAGTAAATAATTTAAACGCAATGGAAAACTGTAAAATAACATCATACAAATAAGATGTTGTTATAATGCTTTGTTTGTGTGATTACCTGACTTTGGCGGTCACTTTGGAACTTGTCGGCGTCTGTACATGCCGCTCTCAGGCTCCATTTGTCCTGTTCTGTTTCGAATGCATGTATTCACTCCCGCTTATGCCTTCCTCCACCCTATGGGTGGTCTCGGGACGCTACATTTTTTGCCAATATGTGAACATGTTTATATTGGCATTACTACACAAACTGCCGACACAGCCCATGTGGTATCCCACTAGCCTACGTACTCGCGTTAGCGTTTGCTTATGTTGCGCGCTGCAATTTCGGAGTGTCTACTTTTAATATGGTAGGCATTAATAGATTTTAAAAGTAAGAAGTAGTCTTGATTTTGATAAATAAAGTTAGATAACCTTGATATTGCCTTGAGACCCGCATCCATCCTTGTTCACGCCTTCTTATCCGTTTAACCCTTACTTTTGCATGCGTACTTATAGATTGAACGCGAAGAATGGAGGTGCAGATGGCGAATAGGCTTCCAAACTCGAAGCGGATTTTTCATATGCGTTTGTGCATGCAATACATAACTGTAATCCGTGGGAGGCTTTGGCCGTATGAGCAATGAAGTGAATTCCTGCTTGAGTGTTGGCAAGAGCCCGCGTGTTTTATCGACATTCACTTTCTTTAGTCGAAGAAGTGGAGCATGAGCAGCAGCAAAGGATTATAAAGATGGAGAGTAGAGGGAAAGAGGAGGTGGTTGTTGTTAAGTGCATGAAGTTCTCCGATGTCGTGGGAAATTGTTGGTCGACCCATCGGCAGGTGCTTCTCTGTCATAGCTGGTGACAAGACGCATTGGGGGTTAGCCAGATATTAATGAGCTGGTGAAATGGCGAATCGTTTTGGGCGAAGGCAGTCTGCGAATGTGATGAGAACAGGGATGGTTGGAATGGCACGAGGGATTCTAGCGAAAGGGACGTATATCGTCGAGGTTGTCGGGTTCCTATTCGGAAACGTACTTTGCACAGGTTTGTGTTGAGGAACTGGTCTCCAGGCTGGCTGCGTGGCTATCTTCTGCAGGTGGTTTTATATTTGACTGGTTGGGCACTTTTAGCTTTTTCTCCTTGTTTTAATTTTCATGTTGGTTTGAATTATTGACTTTCGTGTGCTGGATGTTTCGTAGTTGCGGGAACTTATTAACATTTATCCATGTTTGGTCTGTGGGTTGTTTTTTGGTGTCGATATTACTAACTGATGGTATTTGTGTCATGAGCAAGTGGCTGATGTTTGTCAAGACATCTGTTGGCTCCTCTAGTGATACGCCTTGGAGGTGTCGGCTCGACGAAGGGTTGGTGGGGCGATGGGTTTTCCGTTTGTGTGGAGTTGTATGAGCTTCCTCTGTGTTGCATCCTTGGTTTTCGCGCTTAGATGTCGCCATTTTCATCCAGTTTGGCATAGCGTGGTTGTGTTTCTCGTCGCCGAAAATTAGTTACATTTGATTGCGTAAGCGCTGTGGTCTGTGCGTTCGAGTGTGGACTTTCGAGGTGAAGTCAGCGCGCTATGCTTAGGGGTTGATATCTGTGAGGATGCTTGTTGATTTCTTCTCGTAATTCCTCTCGAAGTCGTCGGCTCGGCTAAGGATTTTTGGGACGATAGGGGCTTCTGTACAGACGGAGTTATGCAGATTGCCTTTTTGTCATATATATATATATTCTGTATTGAGACGGCAGGAGTTGCATGAGGTGGTGAGTTGTGTGGATATGTCCCTCTTCGTGTTATGTGTATCTCTGAGTTGAGTCAGTCACGGCAGACTTGCATTTGTTGTGAGGCTGGTGGATTTTTGTTAGTGTTAGGCGGCTGTGTTTTTGGCTGGTTCATTGCCCCTTAAAATGATCATGTTTTTGGCGTGTCTAGGTGTTTTATATGCCTGCAAGATGCTGCTTGTGTTGGGTGTCTTGACGGATGGTGAGTTTATCTGTTGACTAGGAATTAGAGTAGGGGTGTGACCTGCAGAGGGCTCGTATTTCCTTGAGAGATATGTGGATTTTTTGGTACTGTGGGTTGTTGAGTTGTGAGTAGAGTAGATACCGTCGGGGGTTGTGCGTGTCATCCGCTAGGATTTGTTTGTAGATTTTTTTAAGGCGCATTTCTTAAGTTTGCGTGCATTGCTTTGGGGTGTTGTGGCGGAGCGGCAATTGCATTCCTCCCCTAACTAGATGCTTTTGACAATAGGCTGACGGTGTTGGCAGGCGGGATGTTGGTACGTATGTTACTCGCGTGTGGCTAATGTTAATGAGTGGATTTGTTGAAAATTGTTGGGGTTGTTGTTGAGTAGCGTACCAACAGATTTGCGGTGGTGGTGGTGGTGGTGGATGTAAGGCTATCCTTTGTCATGCATCCACGGTTTCGGTTCGCTCATCCCTTACCACCGTTTGATTTCACTAGCATTGGTCATCCTATTATTTCTTTGTCTTCTTTGATTTTGTCCACATTACCTGTTAGTTGGTGTTGTTAATGTTGATAAAACTGTGGACGTATTTCCCAGTAGATCAGATGTGCGCAGGTGTGAAAGCATTATTACATAGCTGCACTGTGCCGAATGTCATTACGGTACAAACAGCTTTTGATGCTCCCCTTTCTTCATGTAGGACAGGTAAAATCAGTTAGTGTGACGCCTACTCAGAGAGTGGGTTCATCGCAGGATCTGGGTGTATTAGTGCTTTTCTTTATTGGCAATGACGGTGGCGATGGATTATGATGATGAGGTGGACACAATACACTTTGTCTTGTTTGTTGTTTGGGCATTTGAAAGGGTCTTTGCTAATATTTCAATAATCCTCTTGCCTGAGCATTGATATCTAATTCCCTTGCCTTTTTATTTTTGGTGGGAAGGCAAGCGGTTGGCTGTGTTAGTTACGGTGTGTGCACGCTTATTAGTAGCGATTGGTACAGGTGTATAGAGTAGATAGGCAATGGTTATTGATGGCTGTGTAAGATATGCTGTCACCTTTTAGCGGGAATGGAGAAGCAAGTATAAATAATTAAGCTCGATCATCGTAATGTATGTCAATAGAATATTAGGTTGCCTGTAGCGGAAGCAACTTTTGAGGACCTGGTAATAAGTGCGATGCACTCAATTAAAGAGTCCCGCCGGCCACATGACGTCCATGTCAACAAATTTCATTTTGTTACTCTTAACAGCGTTTACTTCTCTTTCCAAGTGTCGGCGGTGTCATCAACATTAATGAAAAGATGTATGTCCTCATTGTTCCACTATTTTACGTTAAGACAGGCATAGCAGCCGAAAATTCTGGTTTGTTTACTCCCCAAGCCCAGTAGGCATTGAACTTAATGATCACTTACAAAATTAAAAGTTCCCAGACAATGTGCGCGACAAATCATAATCACCACACGTTGGCACACGTGGGTCACGGCCTTGAAGAGACTATCAGTGCTGTAATTTGTATCAAAATATCAGAAATTAAAGCAATCATGTTGGATACTTAATAAATCTTGGCAACAGCTCTTATATGACACTTAAAATACAAACAATTGTTGTTGATGTTATTTCCTTTCTTTACGGTTTTTGTTCAAAAAACAACATTCTTGCAACGATTGAATAATGTTTTTGCAAAAGAAGCATTTATACTGGAGCGTGTCAACCTGCTGCCTTTGTCACAACACACCCAAATTTGCACCGAATTTTGCAAGTGGTGTGTATATTGAACGGTTTGATTTTAGCTAAATTGAGTATTTTTGGGCAAACGGCTGAGAGTTATCCTGCTTTACTGTACGGATTAGGTTCGTGTATTTATACTATCCAAACAAAGGTTGAGGTTTAGTCGGATAATGCATTGAATGTAAAATAGGTAAGAATCAAGCATAAGTGCCATTGGTGACGTTCTGGCGAACCATTTACAAATACGGGAAGTCCGAATGATACGTTTTATTGGACAAAGCTGGTTATGAAAGAGGATAATTTAATTGTGTTTGAAGAACTGATTTAAGTGTTAGGCATTAGTGCATCAGTGAAATATGGAGCTCCTCAATGCATAGGCGAGGAAAAGATTTTTTTATTCGTCTTCGTTATCTATATGAGATGCAGCCTTCGACTACCAAAATGACGCCAACCGCGCTTTCGTCCGCCTGGTTTATGTCACTCCGGCAGTTGGCGCTGTGCACTGATAAAAACGTCGCCAGCCAGCGTCGTGAGCGAGGAACGAGTAGAGTCATCGCTCCTCCGATAGCAATCCCTGCTAGCATTAACGTTTTAGCCTTTTACGGTGGTGCAATTTAAGGGAGAAAGGCTGTCAGTGCCAACGCTGTATTTTCTCGGTCAAATCGCTCTAATCTCACACTCCTCACTTCGTAGATTCAAAAGGTGTGGAATTTTTATTTAACACAGTCGCAAAATCTGAAGCACTCTCAAGTCAAGTGATTTTATGATGGTGTTTATGAGTACTAAAAGCCATTCAAAGCACACGGAATGAGATACCACTTACAACGTTTGTTTACGCCTCAGCTTTAAGGGTAGATGATGAGACTGTGGTCCCCACCAGGTGACGTCACAATAAACTCTCACATGCCCTGCAGTCGAATTGTATGATAGTTTCATCGCCTTCAAGGAAACAACATGCGCGACACTGATTTTTACCACTTGCGGCAGTGGAGAAGGCTTAATCTCACCTTTCCATTCACACAACACCTAGTTTGGGATGATTAAGTTTCCTTGTAACCGGCATAACTCACTTATTTGGCCGTTGACTTTTTACCGCTGCATCTTTACATCTTCCTCAGCATCAAAAAACTGCTCCATAAACTTGTTACCGCGGCCTCAATTACCTTAGCACATCTCGCTGCAGGTGATGAGAAGAACCCAGCAGTTTCTTCCACCATTTTACGACTCCAATACTTCCTTTGGGTTACTTTAATGACAAGGAAAAAGGTTCTTTTTGGCTGTATGGTAAAAGGCTGTAGTTTTGATTTAATTCTATAAATGAAAGTTTTTTCTGGCAGCAACGTCCGAATTTCTGTCAAATTAGCTAAAAACGCTCCCGCCGCGTGTTCATCAAATAGCCTCCGTAAATTTACCTTCTTGCTGATTTTAAAAGATGTAGCAATTACTCAAAAGGCGAGAAGAGGAAGAAAAATCTGTAATTTTGAGCAAATTGTTTAAGTGCGCGTCGCTGATCGACGGCGGCGTCGGATTTGATGCATTACGTCCAATCCTTCACTTTCTTCTTCCAACACCCAAAGGAGGCTTCTTAAGCACAATCGTGTGAAGCCTGCCACGGGGAAAGGACCATCTGCTTTTGTTGTAGACTTGTGTTGACACACCAATTCGACTGTCGGCTTGCCCCAACTTGGACGCCCTCGAAGGAAGAAGGTGAGTGCCGCGGGCTCGTGGGCCCCGTTTTGCTAAGGCGAGTGGTGGTCTTCGACAAACTCACTTTCTAGCCCAGCACTCAAAGCTCAGCGGCAGCAGGGAGACCCTCGGAAAGTATTGAGAAGGAGGTTTATAAAGCACGCTACTTTTGAGCAATAAAACACAGCAAATCCATTTCATTACATTTGTTTGTTGTTACGGTTCATGGCGAAGTTTGTTTACTGCAAGCAAAAGATGCACCATTTTGGCCATTCTTCTCTTATTTAATCAGATTAAAAGCACACCACAACTGCGTCAGGCTTACAAACGATCCCCGTAAATGATAGCAAAATTGCGTTTGGACTTTTAACTTTAATTAATGTTTGGAACTGATGTTTTGGTTGGCATCCACAACGACCGATTTGCTGTCTCGCATTGCAGTCACTGCTAAGCACGTTTGTTTTGCTCTGCACGAAACACCAGTTGGCATTAAAATGCGTCTTCTCTTTTTTGTTTTTTTTGAGGCCACTAATTTGGTACCGACTGGGAAGGAGTGAAGGTGGGACACAGTGAAATGAAATGATGGCTCCAGAACAAGTCGTTTGGACCACGTTATTAGGCTGAAATCGTGTGAAGAGGTGGGTGGAAATCGGTTGTGACTAACTGGATACAGTCGTGGGATGGAAAAAACAAGTCACAGTAGAGTAAATGCCTTGAGGGTGGGGGGAGGAGGAAGCGGGGAGGAGGAGGACCCAACTGTCAAAAGTTAAGTTTCAGTCCTTTTGACCTCTTGATTTGCGCTAGGCTTTGAAAATAGGCTACTCCCCATTCCCTTTGCTACAGTTTTTGAAACCTGTAATTATGCAGGACGCAGTTGCTAGGCCCTTCATTTTAGTCTCCCTCCCCTGCCACCGTTTAGTCGGGGTTGGGATGATAAACCTTCACGCCCCTGACACTGACATTGTGATCACCAAAACCTTTCCAGCCCATGTGTCAATTTTTGTACGTCCAACCATATCAGACGGCGACAGAGGAGGATTTAAGGTTTCAGATAGGATAATGAAGGCTTCTGACTTGACTTTCGACCGATTAACAAGCTCACAGTGGATAAAGTATAGACAAATTTAATGAATTATGCAGAAAAACAATTCACAGGCAAAGCATTTGCACTGACAAAGTATATTGGTGATATATAAAACAGCTATTTCTGGAAGATTTTCAGCAAATCTTCCCAGCTAATGTGAATGGAGGCGTTCAAGGAGCTGAAATACAATTTTGAAACAGTCGGACGCCAGCAATGTGAATAACTTGAGCTCCATCAGCTCCAAGTCGGTGTAGCTAGTTTAAAGGGACTAGGGAGGTAATTTTACATCCGTCAATCTGACACCAAAATTAACAACACCCTTATTAATATTTCGTCGTACTTTCTTAATCGTTCTACATCGCCCAGATTAATTAAACAAAAAGTTAAAAAGAACCAAAATTTTTTAAATTCGACATACAGACAACACTTATGGTAAAGAAAAGGATTTAACAAAAGTAAAATTTACAAGCATGAAAGAAAGCATCAAGACAAAAGTCCTCGTTACTGATTTGATTTCGGAATACTTAATTTTACAATTTGTCCCTCAATTGTGCTCCTGAATCTCTTGCAGTGTGTGCCATTGTGCAATTGGTCGACGCGGATTGGCTAGCATATCTGACCAATGACGTAGCGCAGCGCCGGTTGAATTGCAGCCGAGAACTATTCGACCAATGGGATCGGAGGAGCCCACTCGGTCATAATCCACAACGGTTACGATCAGATTTACTTTCTGCAAAATTGCATTCGAAAAATATTTCCGCACATCGCCTAATGTAATGCAGCAGTGTTGACTTTAAGCTCTTTCCGAAAACAAAAACATCGAGCTGACTAATAAAACAAGAAATGGAACATGTAGTCGAACTCTATCTAATTTCTTTAGCCTAACTATAAATGTGCAAAATAATTTAAAATAAACTATTTGAATATCCTAGAGAATCCTTTATCAGCAACTTCTGCGAACAGCATAAATTTGGGCAATAACTTGAGATAAAATCAGTTTTTTGGATTCAAACAATCAAATTCAACCAGAAATTTTAATCATGCCTCAGAAATGAAATAATGAATTCCCAGGGTGCCGTTATGAGACGAGTATTTTATGAAGGGGTAGATGGTATCTCCAGTCACAGTACATTAAAAGGAGAGAGAAAGTGGGAGAGGGAGGGAGGGGGAGAGGAAATGCCCACCTGAATGAGATCAAAAGGAACGTCGAATGAGAAGGACTCATTGTAGTAGGGGTTAAGTGTGCACTTCTTAATTGTTGTCTTCTTCTTCTTTATTCGTCTGCCTTGCAGCATCAAGGAGAGCTTTACGTAGGGGTCTGTCAATACCGAATTGCATTTTAAAGGAAGAAAGTTTTACAACTACACAATGTCCTCACTAAAAGAGGTTACAGTATTTGAAGTGGCAAAGTACGTACCTGATAGGCCACCGACATCCATCTTTTTAAGGTTTTTGGCCTCCAATATGTTAACTGTCAATTTTCCCGAAGTGGGCACATAACGCAGAGAGAAACAAATGTCACCGAGTCGATTTTCCTAATTAAGTTGTTAAAAACAACAAGCTTTGAGTCATTTGGCAAAGCGACATTAAAATGGTAATCAAGAAGACAAACACAATTTCTCCAACTCTCTCCCAGCCATCGGTTTATAATAATCCCTGGTACACGAGGAATGCTCGATTGGATTGTTTGAGATTTTCACTTTTGGTGGTGGAGTACGAAGGGCTGCGGCATTCAGCCTTTGTCTGGTCCTCTACCTTTCAAGCTATGCCAAAAGCTTAAGTCCCACGGTTTCGCCATTGTCTTCTGTCTCATTTCACCAGACATCTCAAGACCAAACATCAACGGCCGACTGTCATAATTTCTACAGCTCTTAGCTTGCATCAGATGCGATACTTTTTGCCAAAGTGGCTAAAATGACAACCAAGTTAAGCATCGTAAGTGGTGAGGTGAATGAATGACATCCGAGCTGCACTGGAGTTGGGAGGGACAAGAGAGGAGTAAAGGGCTGCGAAATCGGTGTATATCCTCGTCCTCCGTTCCCTGATTACACTTTTATGGCAGTGCTGCTACGACTATCAATAGCAACGCGTAATGTCTCGATGTGATGGAAGGCGTAATGACCAAATTGTTGTTGTGTAAAGTTTACCCTCCGCCGCCTGCATTGCTAATGAAGGCAAAAAAAGGTGCCAATTTCCATGGTAATCCAGCTCTTCACTTCTACCGAGCGAGGTGGTCGTCGTCGTCGTCGTCAAGTCTTGGCTACAACTGTAAACTGTCCACCAACCGTTCACATTCTCCTCCTCCACCGAAGGCTCTACACAGGAAATTTCCGCCCAATGCAACTTAAATGGACGATGCACAAATAAATGTCCACAGCTTTCAAAAGGCTGAAGGATGTTATAGAAGGCCAAACAATTGGCCCCATTTGTTCATTCATCTTCATTTCAGTAGTGGCTAAAACTCATTTTTGTAGGCAGTCACTTCTTACCGGTGGACTAAAATGGCTGTGAGTTTTGGGCCACTGCAGCAGGTGCGTTTCTTGAGTGTCTAATGAAAAGCCATGTGGCAGAGGAAACAGGAAGTTCCCATTTTTGACTTCATACAAATTGGTCATTATGAAGAGCAACTCTGCAGTTAGTGAAAAAAGGAATTTTCCACAAAGGCAAAGTTGTTTGTCAATCTTTTTGTCTCTCATTGCCCTCCTTGACATCGCACAAAAACATCATCGCACCCGATTAATTTTTTGGCTTGTTCTAACTGTCAATGAAGCCGCGTAAGCCGAAATCCTTATCCTCCAGCTTGGAGGATGAAACTGGGTCGAAAATTGCGGTTAGACTGGCATTTGTCGGGAGGGAGGAGGTGGCTTTTGAAGTCACCAAATTTATCACTTCAGCAAAAAAAACATAATCTTGAAGGGATGGGAAAAAAGTGCGCAAGAAGAAGAGAAGGAAGCATCAGCGGCACTACTTGGTGCAGTGGGTGGGTGAGGGCACAAGGCAATCATGGAAATAAGAAGTTCGAAAATGCCAAGCTCTGAGAGGCAATTCACTTTATCAGCCTATCGTAAATAGTGGGGCAAAAAACGGCACTATGAGATAAAAGGCTGATTTAAGAACATCAACTGGGGGATTTTGGCGGAGGAGGAGGAGGAGGAGAAGAGGAGAAAGCGGGACCTAAGCGAAGCCGAATCCATTTCACCTTTAGCGGGGGAAGAATAAAACGCACAGGAGTAATATAGGGGAGGAAAGGCGGGCAAATCCGCGTTTGGGGAGGGGCGGGGCGGCTTTGATTTACTGCCAAGGCATAAAAACGCCCCAGCATTTTGGCAGAGGAAAGAATGCGTGACTGTATTGCAAAAAAAGAGCTGTCTTCTAATACCCGCCTCTCAACCCCTTTTTGGTCTACACGTCTTCGAGGCTGGCGAAGCAATGAAACTCAACACACAGCCCTTTAAGGCAGTTTGATTGCGTGGGAATAAATTTCCTCTTCTCCGTGTTGGATACCGGCAAATTGGCACAAACCTTAAAATTTGCATGGTAATTTTGATTACAATGAAAAACAAAATGTGATACGCCTCAAAGTTGGCAGTCGAAAGACTCTCATTCCTTAAAGGCGTACCTTTTTTCCTTCAAACTGAGAAGTGCCAACTCGAGCTAAAAAAATACGCGCATGAGAATGTACCTTTTCGTTCTCCGAGTCGGTTGGTTCAATGGGACGCCACTCTTCGAGGGTTTGGCAGAGGTCAATTGAACCCAATGGAATCTTCAGTTGACCAATTTGATCGTGTTTGGAGAAGCGATCAAAATCGTAGACGTAGAGCACCAACGTGGTGCCCGACACCTCCGCGTAGGGCAGCTAAATGCAAAATCATAACTGCGGGAGTGGGTGGTTGCAACGGACTTCCTGGATGGAGGCATCGGCCACCAAAATGGCGGTTTTTGAAAGCTCAAATAAGCTTCACCTGTGTGTATGTTTGCAAAAAAGAAGTGTAAAATGTTGAAACTGGGCGTCAATGCTACCTAATAGTCGCATTGTTGTCGTCAGAGTGGACACAACACCAAAACGTGGAGCAATCCAGCCAAATCGGATGCATTTATAATGATTAGACCGCCACCGTTGAGGTGTTGGTGGAGTGAGAGCGATGCCACACAACAACAAATGTCACCTTCAGACAAACTCTCGCAACGCATTAATCAACTGATAAGTCTGTAATGGCATGAATTTTTAGGGATTTGAGCCAACAATCCACTCTCCCCAGTCAAAATTGAGGTGTCCCACGAGAGCCAGCCGATTGTGGTCGTGCTTTAGTCGAAGTAATTAAGAAGATTTCTCCACAGAGAGGGTTTAGCTATGCGCCACTCGTGCGTGATATTTCTCTCCGAAACAACTTTTCGAGAAAGCGATTGGAGAACAAAAAACCCGTCAGTTGAAGGTAGTCATTCAAATGGGGGCGCAGAAGTTGTATTAGACACAACTTAACTCTTACCCAAGTGGAAGAGAGGAGATGAACTTACCGAACAAATTTCTTCACAGCGATGATGGTTAAGCTAGTACATCCAACGATGCCAAGGACGAGGAGGAAAGATAGGAAAGAGACCATTTTGGTGCATTTTAAGCTCCTATTTATTTGATTAACAGGAAACGCTACATTTCCACTTTACACGTTTACACCGTAAAAAATGCATTCACCTTCTGGGCAAAGAAAATAGAGCATCAGCTCCGCTTCTTGTCCAAGAGGGTTCCCTTAAAAGGGAGGCCTTTCATGTCACTCAAGAGCTGCCTGCAAATCCTCCATTCCTGACTTACTGTTGTTAAACCAATTCACCGTTTTTCTGTGCCGTGGCTACAAGACGGCGTCCGAGCCATTGTGGAGCCGTCAAGTCCCTTCATTCGTACAGTTCATAAAAAAGAAAAGTGTGCAAAACCTGTGCTCTCGCCTTCTTGCACATTACAAAATGCGCTATTTTTGAAGGAATTTTATCTTCTAAAGCGACAGGCACTGCAGAGAATTATGAGAATGAGGCTTGTTAGACCCCCAAACTGTCAGTCAATCAATGTTAGAAATCGGTAAACGGTGTTGCCTTTCATAATTTCGAAGTCCACCAAATGGCATTACAATTCGCGAGGAGTGCTTCACATTCACTCCAAAGCTAAAATATAAGGCAAAGAAGGCTGACAGGATTGCGGGTTTAGTCTTGGAAAATGGCTTACAGAAAATTTGGAACCTTAACACGTAGAACAAATGGCGGTGTGCTTGTTCTTGTCCCTTCAAAATATGACCATTCATTGTCAAATTACCAAATTAAAAGACAACAAAAGATTTTGTGCCCAAACAGCCCTCACGAAAATGTGTGCCTCTTTACCTAACTCGTAAAAATCAGTCTTTCGACCTCTTCTGTCTATCCATATGATTGTGTGGTGCTAGGAAATGAAAACTTTAGGCTAACTTCGGGATTCGAAGGCGTAGAAGTGCACAACTAACTTTGCTTGTTTCACAATACGCACTTCCTCGTCATATGCTTTGCTAAGTAAAAATATTTCTTGTAGAAAAAGGGAATCATGGTGGTTAGAAAGCGATACGTTTCACATGTTTATTCAGATAACTTTGAAAAGCTGATGTCGAATCAGTCGGTGAGTTTCATTTCTACAATCCACTTGGAAGTGGGGAAAGGAGACTTGTTGGTTTACCTTGGTTATCTCATTTCCACCACACCTCCAACATTTGCTGTTGCTACATGCCCCTCAATTGTCACCGCATAAATTTTTTCCTCAGCGAGTCAACAGTAACGCACACATTTCCGCCTTTAGAAGTGGGCGTACAGCGTTGAGCAAGTCACTGCCAAAGTGGAACAACATTGAGGTACGGGACGCGCAATTCTTACCGGAGGTCAAGTTTGGTGCTATAGCCCTGCAGTCACTTAGAACGCTCACCGAAGGTTAATTTTGGTGCTACTGCACCACCGTTTAATCCATCCAAGAATGTCTTCAAACTCGAACGGACCAGTTATACAATTGATCGAGGGACGGCCGTGCCAACAAACTTCATGTCATGTTTAAGCAGCATTCCATTCCTGTAATCGAACAGACGCTTTCTGTTGTTGGTAACATCTGTTTTAAAAAGTCACTTGTTGCTAGGCTATCACAAAGAAGAGTCAACAATTTACTGCAAGCACCCATCTGGCGTCGGGTTTTAGGAGCTCGGGTATGCGGACAAAAGGATTTTGCTCAAAAGGAGTGAGGGTTCGCCTCAGAATAGCATTGTCAGGCCGATTTTCTCCTCCGCCTCCCCCTTACTCCTTCTTTCTCCCCTTCCCATGAGGCATAACACAACCCAAGTCCACCAAAACCAAAGCCAATTTCAGGCTATAATGAAGAGGAGCTGTAAATAGGACTCGCACTGGTGCCAAGTTCTCCTTGACAATGCCATTTTCGATTCCCCATTTGTCCCTTTGGACCTTTTTTTCATTAATATCTCATTACTACAATAATTTAACAGCAAATGTAAACACTTTCAGGAGGCAAATATGAAAGACAAGTGGACATTCGCCTTGAATGAATGATCACTGCTTTTGCATCACAACAAAGCCACTGAAAACCAATGAAGTCTCTTTCGGTCAGCTTCTATCAGGAAAGGTAGCAAAAAAGCTAAAGGGCAACTAAATTGTACTGAAGCCAAAGAAAAAGTGACTTGTCAACCTGACGCTGCTAAGAGGAGGCACAAATTGGAGTGTTGGGTGATGAAATAGTGGCCGCTTCAACTCACCGCCCGCCTCGCATCGCATTTTAACAGCAAAAGGGTTTTAAAGCTCCACATCGGGTGTGAAGGACAATTTCCTCAAGTTTGCCTGAAACCCACAGTTGCTTTTCACTGCACCCGATGGAGGAGGATGGGGTGGAAGCGGAGGAGGAGGAGGAGGAGGAGGAGGAGGAGGAGGAAGGAAAGATTGGAGTAAATTTAAGAATGATGCAAGTTCTTGACTTTTCCTTCCTATGAATAATTAATGGGGACGAAAAGGAGGAAAAGATTTTCCTTCATCAGCAGCTAATGAGGTGAGCAAAACCATTTACAATGCTTTGTGCGACCCACAACTACTTTGTGCAGTCACGAAAGCTGTAAATGTGGGCACAACGCTCTCCTCGTAAGACGCTGACCTCAGTAAAGGGGTTTAAAAACCCTGAGGAATGTCTTCACCCAGCAGTATGACCTTTCCCTCAAAATGCCCTCTCAACTATTTGCCTCACTCGGAGGTGGGCGAATTGACGGAGGGGAGCCATTTTTTGAGTTGATGCAAGCACGACAGGCCTTATCTACTTAAAAAGCCGTGACGAATGATGTGCAAGTAATCACAGACGCACATGACCTTTTTTAATGACAAACTTTCCCAAAGTTTCGCGAAGAATCAAAAAGGTTTCCTAATGCTTTGGAAAGGGCTGAGGTCATGAAACACCATTGAAGATTAGTTTGGCACGACTAGGCTGGGAGACTGCCTTAACGGGCCTCATGGAAGGGCTAAAACTGTTCGCCGTTAGGTAACAGTGGACCGCTTGCAAACAATGGGAATTCCACTCTCGAGACACAAATTGTATTACGGCTGACACTGACAGCGAAAGGGTGGACAGGTTAGGAAGAGAGAGAGATATCTCACCTTGAAGACGAAGGTCTCATTGAAGACTGGATTGAGGGTTTTGCGATGCACTTTGGTTTCACATTTCTTTTTTTTATTTGGAAGGAGAAAAACCTTGACATAGGGATCGGAGGTGCCACACATATCCATGGCAGGCAGATCACGAGCTTGAATTATTCCAACAGTTAACTAGACAAAAGGAGATGGAAGGCAATTTTCTACTTTTCATCTAAGGCAGCCCAAAAATGGCCTTTGGACGTGGTACAATGCAAAAAAATTTGTGTCAAATCTTAACCTCCGCCTCCAACTTTACGATCATTTTCCGATAGCACCGGTGAGTTGCTTTCCACTCCTCTACTCCTCCTCAACAATTAAATTAATAGCACAAATTCTTTTGTCTGGCTTTTGACGGTCACTGGCGATCACCGCGTTTCCCTCACAGCTTTGCTTAAGGCGTTTTCTGATTGGTTAATTAAAGAAACAAAGCTTAAAAGTTTGTGACAAACTTACCTCATTCTTTTGAAAATCAAACTCCACTGAGTACTGCAACGAGCCCAAATAGACCTTCTCCTTTTCGCGCTCCGACTTTTCATTTACCTCCATGTTCTCTGTCAGACCTTGAGTGTCCTCCTTAAGAATGCACACAGGGAAAAAATGATTCATCGCTCTCTTGCTACATTTGCCCACTTGCCTCCCCATATGGGGCGGGAGAGGCAGAAAGTACGCGGTCCTTCCTCCCTCCCTCCCTCCCTCTTTCAGTAAAGAAGTGTCATAATAGTTAATCCAGCCTAAATCCACCTCAAATCCGGCCTAGAGCCCTTCGATAAGCCCCTGATGCCTTGTACTCCGGTTATCTCCAAATTGTGCCTCAAGAAAGAGCTTTCAAAGCGTCGCACTCACATCAAAAGCACACTCTTACACAGAAGTGCACTATTTTTTTAAGCGAACCAACATTCACCGTATAGATAAAAGGAGGAAGGCGTAAAACCTGTTTTTTTATGACTGCCTCATTTCCTTCGGCGGAGAAGGGGAGAGACTTGGGGCACGAACAACCTGTTAATCGCTAATTTATCAATCCCCATCTAATTTCCCTCCATCAACACTAAAATCCACCTCAAATCAGTCTAGGGCACTGCTCAAAGGCGAATCGTTGAAACAAATTATAGTTTCATTTCTATCTTTTAACGGTAAAACCGCATTGGCTAAAAGTTGGAACCTCTGCGAATGGACCGACTGCGAAGTCTCAACAGTCACATTCCCAGCATATTACTGGTTATTTCAAATTGCTACATCAGTCAGAGGACTCACCATTTGTTTGTTTAAGGAGGAGGCAAATTTGATGACTTTACTGTCATCAGCGTCAACGTTGACGCCCTTCTTTGTTCGTTTTTTGCGTTTGGGAAGGCATTTCTTGCACATCCAAAAGGCGAAAACCAAACCAAAACACACGGCCAGTGTTATCATCAAGGCTTGTGACGTACTTGCATCTGAAAAGTGGACAAGAGAAGAAAATGAGACTGTGCGATTTGGTTAACAGGCGTCGAGGTGGTAGGGGAGGGGCAAATTGCCCACTCCTTTTGGTCATTAAACCCGATGGGATGGGCAGTCCGTCTCCACTGTACCCAATTTGAAGAGGCGTAGTTGCTGCTTCACTGAACACTGGCCTGGACGCTGCTCAAAGTCGTTACTTTTGGGATGTGCGGTCGCACCGACACAAAGTCATTCACATTTAATGAGAGAATGACAAGCAGCATTGCTACCACCTTTCATCCATTCAATCACCGCCCACTTCTGGCAACCACTTTTTTACCATCATCACATTCACAATGACCGATCCAAGAGCTGATTTTAATTGACTGACAAGGGTTGAGGCTTCACTGCTGTCCGACAGTGTAGGAGAGGTGGGGCGAACGCCTTGTGATTTGCAGGCTGTCCATTGACCAGATCAAAAGCCTTTTTCCCCCAATCATCGCAATGACGGTGAAACTGAGCAAGACTAATCCCCACGAGTTTCAATGCGCATTTATGTTATGCGACTCCCAATAAGTGCGTAGTTGTTTTAGTGTTCCGACTTTTAACTATCATAGTATCACGAGGTTGTATTTTCGCTCCGCGACTGCGGAAACAATCACACATGCACAGGCTTGAGTAGAACAGGGCAAAACAGTGCCATTGGAGTTTAAAGATGTGGAGATGGAGTCTGCGGGGGGATGAGACATCGCTGTGGCGCCTTCTTGAGCTCAGCGCCTCTCAAGTGTGGCTCCTTCTTTGACGACAATTAAGCTTATCAATGCATAAAACTGGCATACAAGTGCCGTACAATTTTTAGCATTCTTACTAAAAAAAGTAGCAAATTTTTGGAGCTGTGGATGGCGGGATTGAGGGCGCATATCTCCTCGGACTATTGGGAGCAGTTACTCAACTTCTCATGCCTTTGCGAAAAGCCATTTTGACAATTTGACAGAAGCAAAACACCAGACGTGACCAAAACCAAAAAATAAGTGCCTTTGGTGAAGGTTTGTCAACCTATTTGAAAATTAGGGGAAGAGCGAATACTATTTTTAGTTGATAAGGCTGGAGACGAAAGAGAAACTTCCAATCTACTGATTTCTTGACCAAAGTTTGTCCAAATCCTCCTTCCAAGTGCCTGTCTAAGGACGGATGTCAACACACATTTCTCACACTGATCATCCCCCAGTAGTTGTAACCTCTCATAGAAGAGGAAAGCGTTTTGATAGCCGTCCTAGTCTTTAAGCGACACCTCACTTTATGCATTCCGCAAGCCTGAGGAATGCTATCATATGTGCACCTACGGAGTCGATCAAAGCACTAATGGAGGCAGCGAGTGGGGTGCAGCATCACCAACACCTAACAACTGAACGCATCATCTCTGTGACACCCTGACAGGCTCTTTTCTCATTCCGCCTCTCTCTTCAACCATGAGGCAACCGTCCAATTGTCTGTTGGTTAAAATTGCATGCTATCACTTCCTTCCTCGCACAATTAACTGTGGATTGTTGTGCGCGTCTCTGAACGGCCATTTTCCCTTCTCGGGGCTCCAAAGTCAGGGATCCGCTCAAAGCCAATCAAAACAGTGGTAATCGAGGCTTATAGAAGCAGTTTGGTGGCAACCTAGCAAACACGCTGGAAGCAGCGAACTGAAAGATTTAACAATTTCAATTGTTGTGTGTGTCAATTGGGTGGCGGGCGGTCAAAGTCAAAAGGTGCTTTTGATAAAGGGGCGAAGAGCAAAGTCCCACCACTGTTACTGCCGCTGTGAATTCTCGCAAAGGGAGCGACTAGTATAAAGGGTTTTAAGCTTATTCGGAGGTGCACAGTTTTGATGCTGCTAATCACCTTCCTTCTCACTCCAAACGGATGGCAATGTGAACGCCTTTTTAACCTCCCCACTACTAACATTGATGACCCGCCAGTTTGGCATTCTGTGTGACACTTCTCTTTTGTTTGTTTGTCATTAAAATGATGGCGCCGGTGTGTGCAACTCACGCTTAGTTGTCGGTGCTGCAGTGGAGCCGAGAGCAACAAAAAAGGGATGCTGATCAACTGAGGGTGTTGTGGGCAGTCTGTAGACCGGTAAACTGAGATGTTCTCGTTCCTCATCGGAGACAATGGAGCCCACAATTTTGCCAGCTTCACTCGTACCATTGCCGACTTCTCGCGCTTCAACTTGCCTCGCAGTAGAAGGTGTCGTTGGAGCCATCGTTCTGCGTTGTAGCGCGATTACTGCCAATGCAAAAGAAGTAGTTTTACGACACCTCTCCTTTGCCGTCGACGAAGTCTCACTGCCTTCGCAACTCTCCCCATCCCCAACGCATGCAAACATCGAAAATGGTGGAGGAGAAAGAGAAATTTTAATTTTAGCAAGATAGAAATAAAACTTTTCGTCTAATTAAATCGCGGCACTTTCCAAGGTGGAAGAAAAAATTGTTTTAAATGCTACTTCTATCAAACCGCATGCCATCAAAGATAGAGGCGGATGACGGAGGGGAGGAGAAAAACGATACCTTTGCCTCCGCTCTCTACCAGTTTTTTTTTGTTTTCATGGATGAATTGCTTCGTGCATTAGTGAGGCACGATTTCCTAAGCAGAATCCATCAAAATGAGACGAGATTTGTGTGTGTATGTCTCTGCTTCTGCTCTTCTTACTGACAAAGCACTCCTTGTCATGCTTTGTAAAGACAAGGAATAAGTGGATACACGTCATTTGGTAGAGTAAAAGTTACACGATGTTTCGGTGCGACAAGCGATTTGTTTGTGTTAAGTCAGAGGGAAACGGTAGTACTGAAATTGTTCACCTTTAATGGACGGAAATGTGCACAAAGCCACTGCCGCTCACCGACAACAACAACAACAACAAAGTGGTGCATACCGTGGCACTTTTACGTTGTAAAACCACTTCCCATTGCACTTTCAACACCAATCCGCCAGTCATCAAGCCATCTTTTTTATTTCTGCGTTTGTGCAGACGGAGACGAAGGAAGAGAAAAAGCGCGAATGACTGTGGGTGGCAATCAATTGCACCTCCCCTAAACAAAGGTAGATGAGGGGAATTTTTTGCCATCTCCTAACCTGGATGGCATTACCACTTCACCTCCACTCAACTGGGAGATCGTCAGCATTCTCCCATACTCACAATACTGAGGCAGAATGTCTTATTTTGGGCTAAATTGTCTGCAACGAAAACAACGAGATGCTCATTTCTTCTGCCACTGTGCACCTCTAAACACCGTTGTGGTGTGACGATGGTGATGATGATGGTGTTGTTGTGAGGAGAGGAGAAAAATGAGGCTATGCGCAAGTCACCTCACGGCAAGCGGTGCGGCAATCCACCCGCACACACACTCACTTTCCAATCTCATCACCAACTTCCCATCGGTGCCACGACAACTTAACTTAAATAAAGGAGGAGCCAACACATGCCAACGTTGTACAAATTGTTAGGCAAAATAACTCTCTTCCTCTCTGTGATCTGCCTCAGTGTGCTTTATTTACCCTCCAGTGGCGTCGTGCAAAGCATCAATTGTGGAAAGGAAAGAGGTAGTAACAACGCAGCAGCGAATAGTTCTTCCAAGAATGCCTGCCAAAATTGTGGTCAACATTAAAGTCAACATTAAATTCTCTGCTCTTTGCATTCGATGAAAGTATTTGAGTTGCTGAGCAACCGCGTCTTGTTGACTTCCTTCTTGCCTCCGCGCCAAATGGAGTGCTTGCGTTAGCTAACTCATTCGCCCCATCTCACGCCACGTCAAAACCCATTTTGAATCAACTCATTTAACAGGCCAAAGGGCTGGCAAAAAGGCACTCAAGACGAAGCATCGCCCATTCGCGTAGCACCGATTTGACTGTGTTTTTTGTCCCAAAATAGCGGACAAGCAGGTCTAAAAGTACGTCTGGTTTGGATTAAAGATAACTCCTCCTTGGGAGGAAGGATTAATCGTAAGCGTGGGCAATTACTTTTAGACTAAAAAAGGAGATTTGGGACTTGGCAAATGCCTCGCCTTATTTTCCTTCCATTTCCCTAATTGCCACGGTGAGGATTGCATCCCGCCCACATAGAATGCACATAAAGGTTGATTTTCCTTCCTTTACAAAGGAAGACATCGAACCACATCATCTGCAGGGAGAATAGAGAGTGGACTCGCGTTAGAGGCTGCAATACAAACAGTCGCCATTGTGTTCCGCAATCAGTGGCGAACCACTTTTGATTATGGAGTCAAAACAAACCAACCGTGAGGCACATTTTAAGCAAAAAGGAAAAAAGATACAGGATGTAAAAGAGAAGCTTAAAAGTGTTGGCAGCAAAGGTTGACCAAAAATCTGCAAATAAGCAATGCACGAATCAAAGAAGAAGCGGCAGATCGACATTTATGCGAATAATTCATGACGCACTATAAAATTGTACTTACAACGCCTTCATATGTATTTCCAGACAAAAGAGGATGTATAAAGGGGCATGCAAGTAAAAAAGGCAAATTCTATCACAAAATAGTAATACACATACATAGTTAAGAAAAGTTGTGAAGTTACCTACCTCTGCGTTCCAACGCATGACCACTTCAGCTGAGTCCGTTTCCTCTGTTGTCAACCTCGACCAATAGGAGTACGAGTTGCGTCGTTGCAATCCCATTGGTTGGCTACGCTTTGCTACTCTGACCAATCTGCTCATTGCGGAAGCCTTTTGCATGGTCAAGAATGCGTATCAAGGACAGCACTTCCATCCTTTTGAGGAGGAGGTAGATGAGTCCATTTCTGCTGTACATTTACGTCGTAAGGAGTAATTGTTGTCCCCTACTTACTAGTGCCTTCCACGTGCAAGCCAACTGTCTTTACAAAAATAGGCCCAAATCGCTGATCTCACCTCATAGGTTATTTTGGTTAAACATTCCGCCTTAACAAGAGTTTCAAGGCGAATGTCGTACCAGATTCGCATAACTAAAGTGGCATCAAAAAAGTTACGACAAATACGCTATTCAAGTCGTATTGGAATTACTAAAAAACTGACAATGATTACCAGTCGTCCGTTATGATATAAGTAATGCTTTGTAGAAATGACTCATTTTACCCTCTCATAAAATTGGTGTAGACATTCAAGAAAAGGTAAATTGAAAATGCAACCAATTGTTCCACTGCTCGTAACTGATACTGCATAAAAGCTGACTCGTGATTGCAAATAACTTTGGCCAGAAAAGACGGGAGTTGTCAAATTGTTTACATATTGATGCACATGGATGAGAGGTGATTTGAGCAAACAAAGCGCTATAATGGTGAAAGTGGATGCTTTTAATGGTACTGCCAGTGGTGATAAAGAAGTTGGGCGAACCTTTTACTGTACTTAGGTGCACACAACCGTCAGGCATTGGTTGTCGTGCCACTGACTCAGTGGTTGAGGAGAGATTTAGGGTTGGGGAGAGTAGGACCGCGTCATCCTCGGTTTTTGGACATAAAATCACCCAAAGGGCGAATCACCGCGTGCATCCGAGACTGCCAATTTAACAGAGGCTTGATTCCTCTCTCTTACCCTCCCCGTCAGTGCGACAGAATTGTTTGCCCAAATGTTTTACACCGACCGTTTGCATTCACGTTAGTGCATGCAGAAGTGAAGGAAAACAAAATGGGTGGGTAGAAGGGAAGTAGCAGGCGCCTCTAAGGCGCATAAGCACAACCGGTAAAAAACATGTAGTGGCTTCATAAGATCATCTTTAATTTGAGTATCTCAGTGGACCATAGTATTCCCCTTGCGTCAAGGTGCACTTCTCATGTCCCCCTGTTTCCCTTAAATTTCTTTTCACACTACCATTTGGCGCAAGAATTAAAGTCATTCGTTTGGTTAAACTGGATTGATAAAGAACTTAAGCTGTCTTAAGGACACCACTGGTAGCGGTGGTGGTAAAAAATCTGCCACAACTTGTTATGCTCGCGTCAAAAGAACTTTGTCTTTTCTAGAAGTACTGCGATTACTACCAGTCTGAGATAAGTGAGTTGATGTACTTTATCCCAATAAAGGTCATTTATAAATCGAGAATAAGCATCTTTCTGCTTTTTATGAGGAAAGCGTAAAAACAAAAAAATCAAGCAAAATTTCACTTAAAGGCCTTAAGAGCCGCAGGGAGAGGTGTATCGTTGTTACTGAGTTTAATTCAGTAAAAATGATTGAATGAGTGAGTGTGTGGAATATACTGGAGGGAGTAAGACGAGTGCGTGCATGTACGTGTGTGTGTGCGTGTGGGGGGAATGTGAGGCGAATGAGAAAGGGAAAGAAGAGACACTACTAGGAGGGGAGGAGTAGGGAAGCGAAGATCAGAGGTAAGGTGAGCGGGAGGGCAAAAGGAAGAAGGTACATTATAGGGAATTGGTGTTTGATTTCACGTTAGCGGATGAAGAGATAAAGAACAACAAAACGAGTGGGAGGAAAGCATCAAGCGCCCTTTAAGGCATCCACCTTTAGCTCGTTCTGTCGTCATATGCTATAACGTAGCCAATGCTTTAACCATCTTGGCAACCACATGTCTGCTCGACGCCAAAATAATCAACACTTCAAAAAGCATCTGCATTAGCTTTCTGACAAAGTCTTCGCCATTTTTGCTCCCTAGGGCTGTGCAGGCGACAGTCTTTGGAAGGCCACAGGTAATTTGGCCACAAGGCAAATGCAGGTCTTTTTTCGACTCTCCATTGTCCGAACTCTGTAGGTACTACCAATATCACCTCAGATTCCAATCATACGGACAGTAAAAGTAATTCCTTGTGTCAACGCTCCATGCCAAAGGAGAAACTTAGCTGCGCCTACTGCCATGGTTGTCCTTCTGCCACCCTGCTTCCGCGTCCACCCTCTGCATTGGTCGGTCCCACGGCAAAGCGTTGAGGCAACTGGACTGCACGGATGCGGTGCAGGCAGGCGAGAGAAGGGGTGGAACTAGTAGACAATTGTCGTGCAGAGCCACTACCATGACCACCAGAAAGGGCTAACCGAGGTCATAGCAAATTCCCAGCTGCAACAAGGGTAGCAGTGATGACCCAGAGACGAGCTTCCACTCAACCCAGATACCAATACTTCCCACGTACTTCCTCTCTCACCGTCAAACAAACGCTCCCACCACTCACCCACTTTTCGCCACAAATTCCATGTCTACTTTTTGTCCTGCCGCTCATCGTGCCTCCAGTCTTCCTTCTCTACTCCTCGCCTCCTAGCAGTGTCTTATCTAC